AATTGTTTGACTACTACACAAATTATAGCAAGCAATTGGGGTTCCCAGTTAAGATAAGATCATTAGCAAAAAGAGATGATGGTGAGTTTGAATATTTGACGATTTGTTGTTCTCAATCAAGAACGTTCGAGTGCAATTCCAAAAATCCTTTCAAACCGCGTCCAGCATCAGAACAAGTTATAAGGCTAAGGTCCTAGGAATTTTATGTGCTGATAGAAAGTTGCGACTAAACACTATCATGCTTGATCATAACCATGAGGTGAGTCCAAGCAAAGCTCAATTCTTTCATTGCAATCGAGTGATGGGACCAAATGCAAAAAAAAAAGCTTGAATTGAACGATAGGGCAGGGATTAGAATAATAAAATTTTAATTCATTTATGATTGAAGCAGGGGACATGAGAATATCTCTTTTTTAGAAAATCATTGTAGAAACTACATTGACAAAATAAGGCGTTTACGGCTTGTGGAATAAGACACTTCTGCGATACAGAATTACTCTTAAGATGCAAGGTGAAAATGCAAACTTCTTTTATACAATGAATTTGGATGATGAGGGTCAGCTAAGGAATGTGTTTTGGGCTAATGCAAGGAGTAGAGCTGCATATGAGGAATTTGTTGATGTTATTACATTTGATACAACATATTAGACAAATAAGTATGACATGCCTTTTACTTTATTCGTAAGTGTTAATTATCATGGGCAGTCAACTTTGTTTGGATGTGATTTGATCTCCAATGAAGATATGAAAACTTTTAGTTGATTATTTCAATAATAGCTTGCATGTATGTCTGGAAAAACTCCACGTTCTATAATAACTGACCAGGACAAGGTCATAAAGAAAGTAGTTGAGAATATTTTCCCTAATACTAGGCATCAGTGGTGCCTATGGCACATCATGAAAAAATTGCATGAAAAGTTGAGAGTTATAAGCAGTATGAATCCATCAAATTTTTCTTGCAAAGAATCGTTTATGATTCATTAAGTTGTACTGAATTTGAGAAAAGTTGGGAATGATGATTGAGAAATGCATGCTACACAACAATGACTGGTTAAGTGAACTATACAGTGAGAGGCGTCGTTGGGTGCCATCTTTGTGAAAGATACTTTTTGGGCGGAAATGTCTACCACACAATGAAAGAGAGTATGAATTCATTCTTTGATGAGTATGTCAACTCTAAGACTACCTAAAAGTAATTCGTCGAACAATATGAAAATGCTTTGAAAAGTAAGGTGGAGAAGGAGATCGAGGAGAATCTAAGTCTTTTTCTTCGCAAGTCCCTTGTGTAATTATGAAATGGAGAAACAAGTTCAAAAGGTTTACCCATCTCAAAATTTAAGGAGTTCCGAGCGAATTGACAAGGTAGATGTACTATGATTTGACTTTGGTCAAAGTGGATGACTTGATTTCTGAATATGATGTATGTGAGGATATCATGACTAAGAGAAAAGAAAGATTGCAAATTTCAAAGGTTTTGTTTAATGAAAAGGATTGTGAAGTGAATGATAATTGCCTCGCTTGTTTGAGTTTAGGGAATATTGTGCAGGCATGCTATGGCAGTGTTAATCAGTAGAAAGATTTACTTATTTCCTGATAAATACATCGTACAGAGATAGAAAAGGATGTGGAAAGATGTCACACAAAGATTAAAATTAGTTATGATTGTTGGAACATGAAGCACATTGCCACCTTAGAACGATAGATAAAATGTGCAATGCTTTTTATGAGGTTGTAGACTTGGCAGTAGATTTTGAAGATAAGTGCACATGGATTGTATACACGATCTAAAGGAGAAATTACAGAAATAAAAAAGTGATTCTACAAGTTATGAACCAAGTCTTAACTCAACTGTCGATAAAAGCTCTGGTGGTGATATAAATGATATATCAAAGGAGATGAATATACTTACTCCATTAGCAATCTAAAGCAAAGGTCGTCCACCATTCAAAAGGAAGCAATCAAAAGTGGAGCAAGTTGCTAGGAGAAAGAAGGAAATGAAAAAAAAAAGACAGTATGTCATGGAAATTATACCACTAAATTAAAATTATTCACATTCTTTGTAACATTTTATATATTTATTATTTAATTTATATTTTGTATGATTCCCTCCAAACTAAAAGTGATGTCATTGGTCATATCGATGGTCAACCCACTAGTAAAATGGTTGACGTACTTGGAACACAAGAGAACATTGTTGTAATGGTATGACATAACAATCATTTTTGGAATTGTAATACATTTTTTTTAATGTATTGGTTAATTTCTTACTTGGAATTAATTGTAATGTAGGATTCGAAAACTATCCAAAGTGGTAATGTTGCCGAAAGTGATGGTCAATACTCCAATTTGCCTCTTTATAATGTAAGTTGTGAAAGTTTATTTGTAATTAATCTGTTGTAATTTTGTAATAATCTGTTTTAATTTTGTTATGACAGAACATTTGGCCTTATTATGGGGAGTCACTCTAAGAGGTCATGAAACCAATCATATGGGATGGAAAACTATTTCATGGTTAGAAATCTGACATTAGTTTTAGAAATTTTATATCTTTTTTGTTGTTTATACTATAATGTCAATTTATGAAATTTCTTGGTTTTTTTGGTTTAGAATAACCAATATCATCCTTAGAATGGTGAATATGACATGCAACATATGCCCTCTTTTAGCTCAAAAGAAACAGTAAACAATCCAGAATTGCCAGTTTCGCCTTCAATATCACCGTCAAATGGCAATTAGATTTGGTAAGTTGGAAAGAATTCTATAAAAAGATTTTGTCATTTATTCAAGAGTTGAGTTTTTATTTTTTTTTTTCCTATGACAGGAATGTAACGGAGGAACCCTTCGTCAAGATGTGCAAGACAAAAATTGTAGTATTTTGTGTCCTTGTGTTATCCAAAATTGAGTTGTTCTATTATTTTTGGATACTCATGATTTTATAATAGGACTTAAGGGTTGGATTTTACAGCGACAATTTTATTTTATACAATTGTTCAATTAATTATTTGTTGAAATTTTTTTTGTTTTCAAACATGTGATCTTTGGCAAATAGAGCAGTTCAAGATGGTTTTCCATCTTAGTTCACTGGCTCTGATCAGCTACCCGTTGCTGTGAGCAGCGATTAGTTCAGGATCAGAAAGGCTCACCGGTTCTGCGTACTAAGAGTACTCTGATTTTTTATGATCATGATTGACAGCTAACTCTGAAGCTGGGTGTGTGTATCTAGTGTAACAGGGGAGGATTGGGTGATTTGTTTGTTGTTGACTGTAGGATAGTGCTGCTGGCTTTGATGAAGGGTTTTTGAATGGGCTTTCTGGAAGTGAGGTCTACCTCACCAATATCAATGAAGGGGTTTTGTTTGGATGGTCTGATTGAAAAATAATCACAAGCTGGGCACAAAGAGAGCTACATAAAGTAGTTAAAAATGGCTTAAGTCCTTTTCAAAGATTAAAGTCATCCTTTGTATTGTTTGGTAACTGTTTTTGTCTTTGTTTTTGTGTTTTTGTTTTCAACTTTTGTCAAAAATGAAAACAAAAATATGTTTGGTAACTATTTTTGGTTTTGTTTTGTTTTCGTTGTATTGGAGACAAAGACAAAAAAATGGAAACAAAAAAAATATGTTTCAAGAAACACCCAAAACAGAGACAACACGCGCATAAATGGGTAGGGAATTAATGAGATCCGGACTTCGACTCCTCTTAACAACAAAACACGCATTTTTTTGGTTGAACTATAAAAACCCATTTCCCCACTCTCTCCTCCCCATCGCTTACCCCTGTCTCTCTCCTCTCTCCCTCATCTCTTCTTTCTGCATTGCTGCCTCCAGATGAGGTGGGTTTCGACTCCCTCATCGTTGCCTCCAGACGGTGTGAAACCCACCTCCATCGCTACCTCCATCTCTCTCTCCTCTCTCCTCTCCCTATTCTCTTTGAAACCCAGAATCGCCATCGCTACCTCCAGATGAGGTGGGTTTCGACTCCCTCATCGCTGTCTCCAGAAGGTGCGAAACCCACCTCCATCGCTACCTCCATCTCTCTCTCCTCTCTCCCTATTCTCTGTGAAACCCAGAATTTGTGCATATATATGCACAGTTCTCTACATATATACACAGACCTGTGTATATATATGCACAGATATCTATCGCGTGTGTGTGATTGGCCATTTGGGATTGTTGAATTTGGGATTAAATTGTCATTTAGGATTAGATCTGTGTATATATCATTTGGGATTAATTGTCATTTGTAACTAATTGAATTACCATTTGGGATTGATGAATTGTCATTTGGAATTTAATTACCAAATAGATATCAAACATATTTAGGATAAAATTTGAAGAAGTTACCAAACATATTTTTTTTTTTATTCTCATAATTTGATATACAAAAATGACTCCCAAACATGTTTTTTGTTTTGGTGTTTATCACAAAACAAAGACAAAAAATTATCTCTGTTTTTAATTTTTTGAAGATGCAAAAACAAAACCGTTACCAAACGCAATTTTTTCAAATGATGTTTTTTCAATTTTTCAAATGATTATTTCCTTTTACTTGATCTCTTATCTTCCATTCTATTGTTTATACCTAGTCTCTACAATTCGCTTAACATTCAAAGGCTACTTTAGTCGACCATACAAAAAAAGTTCAATTATATTTTTTTTTCAAACAAATCAACATTTTATTTCATGAAAAAAGAATTATAGTCATGAAAAAGACAGACAGGCCTGCCTATACAAACTCGAGCCAGAAAAAATTACAAGAATCAAACAATGACAATTTCATTGCGCAAAACTTTGAATCCTTGTTGATCTCGAAGTAATATCTCCTTCGCTTGTGAGGGAATGTCAGGCAAATGGGAAAAATAAGTGGAACAACCTTGCTGCACAGCTACATTAGCAAAGAAATCGGTCATAACCTGAACAGTACCACACAATTACACGGCCCCCAACTTGCAAGTTCAAAAGCACAAACTGAAAAAGAAAACATAGTCATTTTTTTTATTACTATTCCACTACCAAATTGAATAAGTTTACAGACAAAATACAATCTCAAATAAGTTCACAAAGGCAAAAGCTATGTAATTGTCTCCCAAGTTGAATGAGTACACAAAATGTGTACAATTCACAAATCATTTCTTCTAAGGTAGTGACTGAATTGTGCATAACAAATCAGCTTCACTATCGTGTCTCGTTGACGAAGTATAAATGTCCAAAACCAAATGACTTCTGCTAGACAATTCGTCGAACAGCTTGTGAACGCAATTCAATCTAGCTTTCCCCTCCTTACTCAATTGTAGATTCACTTTCACGTCAATGAATTCACAAATAAGACATCCTAAACCAATAAAAATAATTAATTAATAATTAGTAAAAAATTTGGGCTTGAGAAATATAAGTATGTTGTAACACTAAAGCAACAAAGAAAAAAAACATATGGAGAGAAGTAAAAATGTATGGGCTCCCGCAACTGTCAATGTCACTCCGACGACTACGAGTGTCTCTAGCAACTATGATTTCGACGAATAGATGAATTGGGGAGTAGAATTGCTAGGGACTAGGGGAGAGGAGAGAAAATTTTGACTGTGTCCTTGCTTCGGCATATATTCGTTGTAAGACGACTGTGTTTGTGGCCAGCGTCGATTGCCGGAGTTGTGAAATTCCAGCGGCAATCAGGGCATGTTTTGTGGGCGAGTTTTGGCGTAGGGAAGGGGAGGGTTACAGAGAGGGAAGATGGAAGATGGAAGGGTTGGGTCTGGAGAGAATAAAATCTGATCTTTCATCTTTATATTTCATTAAAATTTGTTTTTTTTTTTTGGGAAAGAAACTGATGACATTGTTAGTACACATTAGCAGACACATCATCAAATCTAAATTTTAAGTCTGTCTAGCATTACTCTATATGAAATACACTTCTAATCCAATGACTATATTACATTAGGTCCCTAAATTAAATCTCAATAGTATTTTTTAAATAAACAAAATAGGTAATGGTAAAATTGAAAAAAATTGAGGACATGCTCTCCCTGGTCCTTGAATGGCTCCGCCACTTGTTATTATGTTGCATGAAAGGAGAGTCAACAGACTCTAGTCTTTACCAATTTGGAAAAAAAAAAAGAGAAACAAGCTGACAAAGGCAAAGAGATAGCCTCCACTATTGAAGTTATCAAAGAAAAGGAATGTGACAAGGTAGATCAAAGAAGTGTTGATCAAGGAAGCACAAGCAACCAAGTGGTGGTTAGTGAAACTACAACTCCTATCACAGAGATTCACAACACCACCCCTACTCCTCAAGTAACTACAAACATCACTACCAGCAACAAATTTGATAATCTTGTTATAGAACTGCAAGGTCCTGTGCTGTTAGATTTGGAAAAATCAGCTTCTCTTGAAACAAGTGTACTGGCTACAAAAATTAAGAACATTGATGGTATACCAATTGGGAAACTAAGGAAAAAAACACAAGTCACTAAATAGAGGTAAAAGGGGGATTTCTACATCCCAAGGCCACCATCCACCAAGACATAAATGATTAATTTTGCCTGTTGAAATATTAGGGGATTGAACTCTCCCCCTAAACAATTGGAGGTTCAAAATTTTATTTTTGAACAGCAACTGGATTTGGTTGGAATAATTGAGACCAAAGTCAGAGCTTTTACTAAGGGTAGCATTATGAGAGTTGTCTTTAGAGATTGGGACTATTTTGATAGTTATTTCAGTCATATTCTTGGTAGGATTTGGGTTGGTTGGAACCCAAATATCCTGAAGATAACCAAGACAGAAGAAATGGATCAGGTTGTACACTGTGAGGTTCAACATCCAGAAAGTAGGATTGTGTTCCTAGTTTCTTTCATATATGGGGCCAATGATGACAGAGAAAGGAGGAGGCTATGAAGAAATCTAGAGTATCATGCTAGAAACAATATCTCTAGACCATCGGCAGTTTTGGGAGATTTCAATGTGGTAAGAACTCTGCAAGAAATTGAAGGGGGGAGCAACAGAAGAACAAAGGCCGTGGAAGAATTTGAAGAATGTATTCAAAATTTTGGAATTGATGATCTGAGCTTCTCAGGAGTTCTCTTCACTTGGTGTAACAGGAGAGACCCTCAAGATTGCACAGTCAAAAAACTTGACAGGGTCATGGTAAATGATGAGTGGAATATGCTATTTACAAGATCGTTAGCTAAATTTATTACCTCTAATGTTTCATATCATAGCTCTGCCATTGTCAAGTTGGGAGAGGGAGCAAGTCCAAGGAAATGTCCATTCAAGTTTTTCAATTTTATGGCTGAAAGAAGGAATTTTCTTGATATTGTCAATAATGTGTGGCAAACCAATGTGAGGGGAACAAAGCAATTCCAAGTAAGCCAAAAGCTCAAATTGTTGAATTATGAATTCAAGAAAATCAACTAAAAGTTGGTGATGTTACTGCTAGAGCTAATGAAGCAAGAAATGCACTAGCTGAATGCCGGAGGAAACTTGATGAAGAGCCCTTGGACCATGACCTTAGGACTCAAGAGAAGGAGTTGATTAGGAAATTCTTTGAGGCAATCAAAATTGAAGAAGAATTCTTAGGACAAAAATCCAGAATTCAATGGCTCAAAGCTGGTGATCAAAACACTTCTTTTTTCTTCAAAGCCATCACAATCAATAGGAATAAGTCTAGGATAACTACTATCAAAAGACTGGATGGAACAATGGTTGAAGGGGACTTGCAAATCAAAGAAGTAGTCCATTATTTCCAGAATTTGTTTAGAAGCAACGGTCATCAGTCTACTGCTAGGCAAGCAACAATTTGAGACCTTATTCAGCACACTATCACAGAGGATCAAGCTAGAATGCTATGCAAGGAGATTGCAGGAGCTGAAATTAAAGAGGTATGTTTTTCTCTCCAAGCTAATAAAGCCCCTGGTCTAGATGGATTTAATGGATGTTTCTTTCAGAAGGCTTGTCCAATTATTGGGGAAGAGATTATTTTTGCTATTCAGGAATTCTTTATCACTTGTGAAATGCTCAAGAAAATCAACTCTACAATCATCTCACTTATTCCAAATGTGCCAAACCCCACTACTATGAGTGACTGCTGGCCAATTTCTTGTTGCAACACCCTTTATAAGATTATTTCAAAGATTATTGCCAATAAAATTAAGCCATTTCTGTCTGGGCTTATTAGTCATTTCCAATCTGGTTTTATAGCTGAAATGCTGAAGGTTTTGTTCAAGAGCCATTTAATGAGCAAAAAACAAACCGAGTGCAAAACGACGTGGTTTTGGGCAAACAGCAGCCCCCCGCTGTTCTTATGGAAAAGCAGAGGAGCCGGATCCTGATTTTCGAAGCCATGCCTACTACTTACTATTTGACGTGTGAGATTTCGATTACTACT